ATGTGAACCAGTACCTATAAAAACAGCAATCAACAGTTTTTTCAGTAATCCCTTTAATGGAAGGCCTGCACATCACTGAATCTTTTAAATGAACTCATCTGTTTTTCCTAAGCTATCCACAGTGTTGAATAAACATGAGCAACCACAGCTTTAACCATGTCTGTCAGGAGAGGCACTAACTTTTAAACAATAATTTCAGACATGGTCAACCCTGTCTACACTCCACTTCAGTCTGGGTCAATTGCATCTCCTGCCTGACAACTAAGCACCCACACCAAGTAAAAACTAAGAAAAATGCTACCTACCCACATTACAAACCCAAATCCCACAACCTCCTGCAATCAGTCACAATAGCAACAATGACTTTATGCTTGTTCCCACTCTGTGGACAAAACCCGCAGTGGCCTGGTCAACTCAATTTTAGTCAAAGCAAAGTAACAGCAGCACCAAAGTACTGCTTTAGTCACAACACATAAAGATCACTTGATTCTCCACAGCCAAAAAATAAATAAGCCTTATCTAGACTGACAACACAATCAGCAGGAGCTGCATGTGGAGACACAGCAGAGCACAACAGTAACCGTTGTCACTCAGTCAGTTTATATACAGTTTAATGATTTAACCCCTCATCTGACTGTTACCTAAATGTTCATGAAAACACAAAACCTAGTTCCCTTTTTTCAAGTTAAACTATATGAGTAAACCATTTTGCATGGGCCAGTCTTGGCCAGAAAATCCATATTACTTGGACAGACATAAAGATACAAAATGAAAAGGGCTTACTGATCCTGAGGTCTTTTCCCCGTTCTGTATTCTGTATTAAGTACTACACTACCCATGACTGTCAAGTGCCATTTCTATGGAGAACAAGCCTGTCAAAGGTGCAAATCAGAGCTGCAGCAAATTCAAAATGCTTTGTGGTGGTAGTTGGATATGAAACTAGGCACCATAGAAATCATTTGAAAAGCTTTCACTTTGCAACCCACCCCCAAAATCCAAATAAAAAGCACATTTGTTGAAACAAACATATTTCCTTAAGATAAGTTAAGCATGAGCTGTGTGACTGATGTCAGTGTGTCTTCCTACAGTGCAACATCAGACCACAGGGTACACGTCATTGCTTCCACTACTCAACCACCACACCACGCATCAAGTCAGATGACATGATGATGAATTGCAGATACAGATACCAATCTCACAGTGTTTTGCGCTGAACTGGTATGACCTCGCCTCACCATACAGCAATGTCAGTTCAAGGGGAATAACCCTACTTGGCATCCAGTGAGACGTCCGGAGGCAGCCATATGTTATGTCTGTTCCCTCCTCGTTAGCTACTCCTACCCCCTCCCTCCACCTCCTTACCAGTTGAGCAGCTGTGCAGATGTGAACACCTTGTCACAGTTTACGCTCATACTCAACATTTGTTTTCTTTGAGTGTTTCAGGCTGGGTAGGAGCCCAATACTGATTGATGCATGTACCTCCCATTGCCCTCTGGGTGTGTGCGTGGTAAAAATAGTTAAGTAGAATGTGTGAACAGAAGATGATTTTATCAGTGGGGGAAAAAACTCCTCACTTTCCTTCTTTTTATTTGCTGTTGAAGTCCCTGTGCCATCCTTAACTTCTCACATCCAAAGAGATTAATTGCAGAATTCTTAATCTTTTAATCTTGCTCTCCCTGCCCTCTCTCTCTCTCTCTCTCAATCCTTCTCCTTCTATCAACCTCTTTCTTCTTTTTGTAATTACAGGACATACTTACAGAGATTACGCTTGTGTCATCTGCAGATCAGCAGCATGATACTGCTGAATGCTCTGCTGGACAGATGTATGACTGGGACACACAGACAAGCAGGAGAAATGCTGTTAGACTTTGCAAAGTCCTCTCTTTAAAGATAAGTGATGCTTAGTATAA